TTTTTTTTAAAACTAAAACCTCAGCATTCAGGTTCAATTGCAGTGTTGGCACTTAGAAATAAATAATTTGGTTTTATGTTTCCATTTGGGCACTCAGTTCAAAAAGGTTCGCCATCACTAGCCTAAACCATTTAGGGCTTTGTATGTAATATTCAGAACCTTGAAATCAATGTGGAAGTGAATAGGTAGCCAGTGTAAGGCAGCCAGGGTGGGGGATATATGGTGGAATCTTTTCACCCCTGTTAATAGCCTGGCCACCATGTTCTGGACCATTTGAAGCTTCCACATCAGTCTCAAAGGAAGCCCCATGTAGAGAGCACTACAGTAGTCTATTCTTGAGACTACGAGTGCATGGACCAAAGTGGTGAGCACCCCCGTATCCAGATAAGGATGTAGCTGGGCGATCCACCGAAGATGTAAGTGGGTGGATGTCACGTTCCCGACATGCTCTACTTGACCCATGATTCCCTCCTGCAGGACACTTTGGTCAGTGTAAGACTCTGCATCTTCTCACATGGGAGTTCTGGTGGCCCCGGGTTCACGCTGACGTTGCTCGTTACGTCAATTCCTGTGAGGTTTGTCATCGAGCCAAGGACATAGCAGCCAAACCTCCAGGGCTGCTACATCCACTACCCATACCAGCCGCCCCTTGGGACACAGTATCTCTGGACTTCATCACTGGCCTCCCATGGTCACATGGGTATACACCTGCATTCTGGTAATAGTGGACCTGTTCACAAAAATGACTAATTTTGTCCCTTTGGACTCCACAACATAGAACTCATGGGATTGAAAAAGCATTTCTAAACTGCACTCTCTGGACACAATCCTTGAGAAAAGCCCAGAGCTAAAGTAAAACTGAGCCTCCAATTCTTAAACTCAAAGGTCTGTCCAGAAGGATACCATGTTTGATAGTATTGAAGGCTGCTGAAAGATCAAGAAGACCAACAAGGTCACATTCCCCTGGTTAGCCTCCCTTAACAAGTCATTGAGCAGAGTGACCATAATGGTCTTGGTCCCATGGTGTGGTCTGAACCCCAATTGAAATGGACTATTGATTTCCTCCAGGAATGTCTCCAGCTGGTCCGCCACAACCCTCACCCATTACTTTTTCCAAAAATGCGGTGTTGGCAACAGGTTTGTAGTTATTTACATCGTCTGCCTCCAGCATAGATTTTTTTTTCAGAATGGGCTGCAGTATAGTTTCTTTCAGACGAAAGGACAGAAAGCCTTCTTGTAATGATGCATTGAACATCTGTGTGGCCCATTCAACTGTTACCTCTCGGGAAACTAGGACATGGGTCAAATGGAGGGCAAGTGGCTTTGCAGCATGCAAGTGCCTTGTCGACATCATCAGATGTTATAAACTGAAATTGATCCAGTAAAACTGGACATCTCAACACAATCTATTGCCTCCCTAAAATTAGAGTAGAGGTCCCCACGGATGCCCTCAATCTTTGACCAAAAGAGAACTGCAAATCAGTTAGCAATGGTAATATCAGATTGAGGACTCTTAGACGGTTCAGTATATGTGAGGTCCCAGACTACTCAGTAGAGTGCTATTTGATGATGAGAAGCTTCTCTAATTAGCATGGTGTAATAAGCTCTCTTGCCTGACTGAATGGTGTTACAGTACCTGCTGGACAGATTCCATACTGCAGTTAGGTTTCCATCCAAAGGAGTTTTCCTCTAGTTGCTCCTCAGTTGTTCCATGTTTTGCAACTCATCTGTGAAACAGGGTGAAAAGCAAGTCCCAGAGTGGAAAGTGCATTTAGGAGCAATTGTGTCAGCCACCTGGGTTACTGCAGAAAACCATTTGGAAACCTGGGTTTTAACAAGAGTGCCAATCAGATAAGTCAACCCCCCCCCAAGACCTCCAGGAACCCATTTGGTTCCATTAGCTTCCAGGGAGGGACTATCCGCATATGTCCACCCTCCCAATGGAGGAGGATCATCATTACCAGTCCGAACTTTAACATATGATGATCTGACTATGAAAAGGTTGAAGATCTTAAATCTCTAACCCTCAGATCATCCTCGTCATGACCAGCTGAAACACTAGATCCAGAGTATGTTCCACCAAATGTGAATGATGTAATGAATTGAAAGATACTAGGACTTATAATCACATAAAGATGGAGACTGTTAGGTTCTGTGTAAGACAAGTTAAAAGCAATGGAATGTGTGAGTGTTTTTGTAGATTTACTGCATGGTACAGAGAAGCATGGAAAGAGATAAGAAGGCAAGGCCAGAGGGAGGCCTAGAGAAGACACAACAAGAATACCACTTAATTGGAAACAAGACAAAATACCTGTGGACTCATGAGAAATATGGGTAGAGAGTTGTTGCAATTAAGCTTTTTTGCAATTGGATAAAAGCTAATAAGTGTCATGAAGGAGGAGGTCTTAAGACATGTACGTAGAAAAATGATGTGTATGTTAAAGAATGGTTTGTGGCATGTGGAGGAATGCTTACAGAATATAAGAGAAAAAAGGTTTGCTTTTTGAAAAGAGAGAAGGAAGGGGGTGAATAGCCCAGCTAGAAACCAAGATGATTACTTAGCTAGATTTTAGTATTTCTCATTTTGATAAAGAATAGCACCTTAGCAACCTGCAGAACACGGGCAAAGAGCCCGAAAAACCCACAACAACCAATAGCAGCTTTTATTTAACCATTGTAATGAATGGATATCTTATGCTTAATGCTTTTACACAACAACCATATTCTAATGAAACTTTATTTTCTTAATAAAAACAAATATAACAGCAGGGTTTACACCTAATTCTAGTAGAGATTGGAGAAGGTCACTAAGTAGCTACTGTAATTACCAGGTCCTACTTTGCAGGGCTGTTGTGTTGTCTAAGAAAGCACAAAGTCTATGCCTGATTGCTTTGGAAGTACATAAAGGTTTCTTTTAAGGTCAGGATAGTCCATGAGGCTTACACGACACACTTCTGAGGCTTTAAGGACTTACCTCAGAGATAAAGGTGGTAGTTTTGCGCTCACAGTGACTCCTTGACCAAACATCATACTCTCTTTAGGGAGAGGTGATCATTACAAATGATATTACACATTTCCAGAGTTACAATATTCTTAACCATTTAATACTTTATTTATACAAAATTCAAACTATGACAGGTGACTGTGGGAATATGTTGCTTGTAGATTTTCTCTTTTGCTCAATAGTCCAATTTCACAATCTTGACATTCCACTTGCCCCCCACAAGTTAGAAGTGAAAATGTACTTTGATTTGGATTTCTGCACTGAGCAGAGGTTGGGCTCGATGGCCTAATAGGCCCCTTCCAACTCCATTATTCTATGATGCTATGTCGTTACTTATTCCTTTACTAAAATGTTCAATAGTCCAGTGGTTGACCTATGTCACTGGAACAGAGTTGCTTTCTCCATCTTCTTCTAGTCAGACTCCATTTGTCTGTGATGTAGCTTTTATTGCTTGTAGAGCTTACATTGTTCAGTGTTCTGCAAACATCTGCTTCTTCTGGTAAAGTTCTAAGCCTGTTACCTGTAGCTGTAACCTAAAAGAGAGAGGGGGAGGGAAACACATAAGACTTCTTTTTTTATATGTAAACAAGAGGTGTCATGCTTAGACTATTAAAACATCTTTTTGCTATAGTTGGCATTCTACTATCATGTTATTGGCATGGGTCAGATTTAAAACCTAAAACTTAAACATTTTAAAACTTGAAAAGGAGTTGAATGTAACCGGCTGCTTTATAAATGTGTCTTTAAAAAACACATGCTGCAGAGGAATAATGTCCATATATAGTTAACATGACAATGTATTTAAAGATCTGGACATTGTTAGAATTCCAGGTGCTATGTAGTGCAATGTAGAACAGGGCAGGAAGTAACAGACAGAATATGAAGTACAGTGGTGCCCCACATAGCGATGTTAATCCGTTCCGGATTAATCATCGCTATCCGGAAACATCACTAAACGGAACTGAAAACCCCATAGGAACGCATTAAACTTCGTTTAATGCGTTCCTATAGGGCGAAAACTCACAATTCAGTGAAGATCCTCCATAGCGCCACCATTTTCGTCGCCTCTGTAAGCGAGGAAACCGTGCGAAAATGCATTTTGGGAACCCGGTGGCCATTTTGGAACCGCCGATCAGCTGTTCTAAAAACATAGCAATGCGTTTCGCTTACCGATCATCGCAATGCGATGTTTTCCCATTCAAAACATCGCAATGCGATCGCATTAGCAATCGCAAAAAATAGATCGCTATGCGGCTTCGTCGTTAAACGGTGCGCTCGTTACTGTATCATGAACTGGGTTAGAACACTACCCCTTTATTGTTTCCCAAGATTCAGGTATGGGGTAGAGGCTGGGAAAGTTAATGGAAGAAGAATAATGGTGAAGGTATCCCACTTGAGTTATGGTGCATAATTTGCAGAATCTCCAAGCCTGCATAGCCATAGGGGTTGTAATCCTAAAAGGTAGCATTTCAAACTCCATATTTCATTACAATTGTAATTAATAGACCTACTTCTAATTTCCCTGGCCCAGACCAACCCTTTCATAACCTCTAGTGCCGACTCCCCTTAGTAGGCCAGGAGGTTTCCAGTGAGCTTTGTCTTGTCTGAAAGTACAAGGGGGTGGGGAATTGAAAATGTCTGCATTCATCCTCTTCAGAATTGCCACTTTAATTAGCTTGATTGAAGCATTTCACTAAATTTAGAACCACAGCAGTGCTCAACACAGTGAATTTAATGAATACTGTAGGCAGCGAAGCCAAAACTACAATATTTTGAAATAATTTTCTTCAGCACTGGATCCAGTCCTCCTGTAAATCTTGATAATGAAGGGCTTTCTCTCCCCTACACGCACACACACATGTCCTCTTTTTCATATAAGAATGGATACTCTTGGCAGTTCAAGCCAGGGTTACATCACAATGTGACAGCTTCAAGATTCCATTTTTACTGTTCCAGGAAAGAATAGTAATTCCTCATGCATTCCTCATATATATATGTGTGTGTGTGTGTATAGATTTAACCAGTTAATCATCTTTCATTGCTCACACTGGGTGTGGGCGTGGCATAAATGACTACTTTACAGACAGGCTTCATCTTCTGGAATATACTTTAGGAAAGTTTCTTCAAGAATAACTTCCTCATTTTTTTCAAAGTGCAACTTGCAGACTTACCTGTGCTTTTTGTTTTCACTAAGACAACACTGGATGGCCTAGAACTTGTAAGTTGTTAATGTTTTCAGTAGTCCTGTGCTTAAGGATGCAGCCTTTAATCAACCCATTGAATAAGAAATATTTCCTTATTTACTTAAACACTTCAGAACTTCATCTTCCTGCATCATATCTTTTAGCCTTTTGTTTCTGTTATTGGGGTATTCTTGGCAAAGATACTGGAGTGGCTTGCCAGTTCCTGTTCCAGGTGGACCACTTTTAGTCAGAACTCTCCTCTATGACCTGTCCGTCTTGGGTGTCCCTGCATGACATAGCCCATAGCTTCTCTGAATTACTCAAGCCCCTTCGGCATGACAAGGCAGCAATCTGTGAAGGGGGTTATCAGCCTTACACCACAGAATTTACATGAATAGGATTTCAGTTAGACTGGAAGAGATTGGGATGTTTTGACACAATCTTGTTAGCTATTCTTTCAAAGAAAGAAGCCCGTCACAGAGGTAAATGTCTTAGGTGGTCCAAGGTCTGATTAATGGAGATGCCTTACCATGAAATGTTGGATAAATCGGTCTTTGGGTTGTTTTATGGGAAATTGATATTTTCTGCTATTATAGCATTTTCCTTCAGACACAGTGGTCTTGCACAGCTTCATTCCCAAGTCACTAGACATACAAATGAAGCCCAATGTTTACTTCTTGATGACCAATCATGAAACAAAAGCAAACTGACCAGCAACAGGCAAACTGCAACAAATGTGTGTCAGGAAATCAATAGATGTTTTCACCTATTGAGAGTGTCTAATGATGTTCTGTTTGATTTATTTTCACATTTTCCCAGACTGGAGCTTTAGGCATATGAAGATCAAGGAAGCAGATTCACATTAAGTCAGTATAGGTTGCCGATGTGGGCTGAGGTACTTTGCTTGGAACTCCAACTCTGTTGTGACTTGCCAGGAAAACACAAAACTGAAAGATAGGCCCTTTGCCATTCTCAACTTTCCCAACCATTGGTTTTCCTTTTTCCCACTTAGAAGACAAGTCTGTCCTCAGGGAAATCTGGGAACAGCTGGTGCTGAAGTTAGCTAATTACCAGCCAAGCTGAACTGCAGAGGTAAGCTTGCTTTCTAATTGATGGTTATTTCCCAAACCAAGAAGATTTATTTCCAAGCAATGATTCTGTCAGGTCCAACATGCCATTCCTATCAAAGAAGCCTAGACAGACAGGAAGAGTGGCAGGAAGGTGGCCAACTTTGGGCTGTTGCCCAGGCCACATGTCCCTCATCTGAGCTGGTGGATCAGAAGAAAACAGAGGTGACACAGGATCTAAACATGAGGGGTGTGGGAACTTGGCCCATAATTTCAAGCTCAGGCACTCCCCAGTTTAGGTTGTGGGCCACTCATGGAACAGAAGTACATCCAGTCCTACATCCTGCTTTGAACAATGGGACAACTGATGCCTCTGTGGATTTACAAGCAGGACATGATGGCAACAGGACCAGCCCTTTTGTTAGGTAGAATGATGTGGTTAGATCCTGTGGCAGATCCTGAGCAGAGGCATGGATGGACAGAACTGTGTGTGTCTTGGGAGTTTTCTTTTCAGTTCTTAAATCAAGGTTAACAAGCCATAGCCTGCACACAGCTCCCATTTTTCCCAGCACCAGGTCCCCTAAAATGACCCTTCCTCCATCACATCTCTTTGTTAGCAAGTTGCTCAATTTTGGCACCAAACGAGAACCTACTTGAAAGCAAGCAGGAAGTCATAGAACTGCAGAGCTAGAAGGGACCCTGTAGATCATCACGTCCAGCCCCTGTCAAGGAGGCACCGTGGGGAATTGAACTTCCAACTTCTGGCTCTGCAGCCAGATATCTAAACCACTGAGTGATCCAGCTCATTGTAAAGTGGATTTTCATGGTCTGCCACCAAAATTTGATAGCAAACTGTGAACATTTCTTTAACACAAGGAGTTCCTGCTCCTTTTAAAGGAGTTATTTTGATTTGCAGCTAGATTTTGGTAGGTAATTTGCCAGTGACTCTCAATGACAGGTCAGCAGAGTTATGTAACCCATGGCGAGTTCTAAAAGGGAGGGCACTGGTTGCAGGGCACGACAAAACTACCCATCTTGCTCTAAACTATTTTGGTGACATCAGGTGCCATGAAAGATAATGTCCCATTGCTGACGGTGTAGTAAGAATCAATTCTTAGTTTGCTTCGGTGGCAACATTGTGCCACTGGGGAGTAGGTGGAACAGAAAGCATAGCAATAATGGTGAATGGAAGTGCACACATGCACACATACACACACACACATGAGGAGGCTCTGATAAACACATACTGGGGCCTTCTAGCTTCCACAAGGTGACAGGCACCCCACCTGCCCTAATGAATGGGCAGACATTTGGTCTGCTGGTTTTTTGCCTCAACTGCTGCAGCTACCAGCTATCAACTGGCAGCCACCCATGATTTTTTCTGTATCCTTTGAGTGTCACACACAGTTAATCAATTAAATATTCTCATACTGTTGCATGAGAAGCAGTCTGCATAAGCAAAATATTAATGTTAAACTTTCACTCAATGTTTTCATCAGTCTTCTGACTGTATTTTGGCAATAAAAGGGGATGGAACTACTGTCAGATAGCTATCATCTTTAACAGGCATCAGATTTGAAGTGTGGCAGTCTTTCTTCCATCTAGCTGCCTGTTCTGCTTGTCGATTAATGCAATTTCTCCTTTTAAGCTACAGTACATCCCCTTATTATTCTCCCCCTGCAGTATGTCTATTACTCACCACGGGAATGCTGTAATGTTGTGGCGACTGTTGTCTTCTTACAGGTGCTTCATGTCTCCAGCATTACACGGCGTACGGATGATGAGGCTTAATATAGAATGACTGGAGAATTTAAGCAGAAAGGTTTACAAAAAATTCCTTCATGCTTCTCTGCAGCTTCTCATCCCCAAGGAGCACAGTATGGGGGATTAAAGAAAAATACAAGATATGGAAGAGGAAGTATGTTACTGGTTGTAAAATGAGAGCTGCAAATGCTTAAGCTTGTGTATATAGGCACTACTTGTGAACATTAAATATGTACGGGAAAGACACTCTGCAGATGTTCAGGGGTACTCACTCTTATCTTTCTTTCCATCATTTGAGAGCCAATGGTAGGAGTGTTAGATTAGGATTAGGGTTATTGTGGTGCAAATCCCCACCTAGTCACTAGATGATGATGGACCATTCACTACCTCTCAGTTGAACCTAGCTCATAGGGCTGTTGTGAAAATAAAAACAGGGAGGAGGACTATGTACAGTGGTGACCCACAAGACGATGTTAATTCGTTCAGCAAAGATCACTGTATAGTGAAAACATCGTATTGCGAAATGCGCTTCTCCATTGGAATGCATTGAAATCCAATGGGGAAAAATTGCCGTTTTGCGAAAATTGCCCATAGAGAAACCGTTTTGCGAAGCGCGGATCCGTTGTAAAAATTGCTGTCTTGCAAAAAACTGTCCCAAACCCCCCAATTTTGCAAGTCGCAGACTCAGCTATCAAAATCATCGTCTTGCAAAAATTGGTTCCGATAAAAAACCATCTTGCGAAGCATGGTCCGAAACATTGTCCAGTGAAAATTGCCCATAGGAAACACATTTTGCGAAGTGCTATAGCGATAGCAAAAACTCATCGCCTAGCAAATTAATCATTTTGTGAAGTAATTGTCTAGTGGAGCACCACTGTATTTGTCCTTGAACTCTGTGCAGAGAAAGTGGGATATATCTGAATGAATGAAAGAAATAGTGATTACATTCTATTTTGAAAAATAGGAAGGAAAAAAAATACAAAAACTCTTGGAGACTTGTGAAATTCAAGTCTTCATTAAAAAAAGTCACCTGCATTATAGCCCCAAACTACTTTAACAGTAGTTATCTCCCAATGAGGGGCAGTTCACTGTTTAAAGTGGGTAGGGGCCCTCACCATATAGTTTCTGAGAATCTTGGCCAATCTTTTGGTCATCTTTTTTGCCTCTGTCTCCCAGGGAACATTTTATATTATTTATTAATAATGAAGGTTATTTATTAATGAAGATAAACAAAAGATAGCACATGCACTATGGCTTATGAAAACATGCAATATGCTACATACCAAGAAAAACAACCGTAATTGCCTCCATCCCCAGCATTTTTTCCAGATTAAAAACATTATATTAGATTGAATGGCTGAATCCTACTGAATATTTACCCAGTATAAGTGCAATGGTATCACTTGGAGCAGTAAATAACTGCTATTCAACAAGCCCCTCTCTAAATTCCTAGTCATGTGCTGAGTCACCCAATTTGTGCATAACTAGAAATTCAGTCAGGGATTTAGACCACACCAGCTCACTTCAAAAAAGGGGCCAGTATAATCTCAGCCTAAGAAAAGCTATTGCTTTTGCTATAGGTCTGGACCACTATTATGGGTTTGCCATGATTCCTGGGTAATTCTGGCAGCTGTAGTTCAAAAAGGTAACTTTTCCAAACCAGATTACTGTAGTAAACAAGTCCTCCCACATCGGGCAGGGCTGACCCAGTACATTTTTCTCCTTCATGCAGAGAAGACTCCCTCCCCATCATCCTAATTACACATACAGAAGACTACTGAATTAATAGGTTTATTATTCACTGGCAACATAACCCATGTCCTCCAACATACTAAGGACAATGCACTAGCTGATTGAGGATGAGCCATGTAGCACAAATATTGCATCTCTGTCCTTATGTACCTCTTTCCTGGTTTCTCTTGTTTGAGACAGCCACCAACAATAGGGCTGCCCCTCAAAATGTGCCAGTCTAAGACTAATTTTTAGCTAAGGCCTAAAGAATTGCACACTATACGGTGATCGGTTTGAGCACATAATCTCCCACAGTTTGCTTTCTGCCACGCTTGTAGGGGTTGAAAAGGACTTTAGATTTGAGTTTAAAACTTTGAAAATTGCTTATCTTGCTGGTTTGTGCTATATGTAAAAGCATATTCCGCAGATGATTGTTGTTTAGGCAGAATGAAAAGCAAGCTCTTTCTCAGAGGTATAAAGCATTTTTATTCACTGTTTTTAAATGGCACTTCAAAACTTAAATCTCCTAGATTTCTCTTTCACTATTTAGACAGCTTATTTGGTTGCTTGCCACTGGGTTTCTCCAGCTGACATTTATCTACTTTCCTGGAATGCACAAGTAATTTTTCTTCTAAAACACACACACACACACACACACACACCACACACACACACACACACACACACCACTCACACACACACACACACACACACACCACTCACACACACACACACACACACACACCACTCACACACACACACACACACACACACAAAAGCACTTCCCTAACCAGACGAAAGTAAGATTGCTAAATGCTTGGAAAGCACAACTGCAGGGAATAAAAAATCTGATTCCTGCACAGTAAGTCTTCAGGCAGTACAGCCAGTTTTTTCAATTAGTATGTCAGGATTGGAATGAGCTATCTAGACATTTTTAGGTCTACATTTGCATCAGTAATCAACTTTAAAATGTGTGTAACGTGGCATCTAAATATTTTCCTCCCACCCTCTGTATTTTTTTAATCTGGTCAAATAATACAAGTCATCAAAATCAGATGTCATTAACCTTACCTGCCTCTAACAAATGTATTGCTTCAAACTGGACAGGTTACAAAAAGGTTTAAGTGCATTTGGTTGATTTTAATATTCTCTTTTGTTTCATCAGCAACTGACCAACCTACTAGTGACAAATAATATTTTAAACTCTCTGGTTCCAAGTGGCAGAAGGAGGATGTTGTTTGAAAAATAAAGCTCATGTGGCTGGATGGACATTTTTCATCATATTTTGGATGCTGGCCAATATAAATGGGAACAGCAGATTCTTGTATGACTTGAGGCTTTCGTATTTGTAGTTATATATCAGAAGCAGTGGCTTTCATCAGATCGAAGCCGTAATTTAGTTTGTCAGTGGCTCTGGGCTTTGTGGACAAAGTTGCAAGGGACACCCTTTTACAGCTGCTTACTCTGTAAAACCAACTAGCACTATTTTAGAAACACTGCATTGGGACCAGTGTTGCTGTAATTAATTGCTACTGTGTTCAGGACGAACAGGAAAAGATATTTCACACGGGGTAATTTTATTTTATTTTTTAAAGTCCTAAATGACTTAGGTCCAGATTATCTGAAGGGCTGTATCTCTCCTCATCAGTGTCCCTGGCTTTTAAGATGTCTTGATTCTATCTACCTCACAGAGATGCTTATTATGATTAGGGCTCAGGACCTTTCCAGTGGCTGCTCCCAGACTGTGGAACTGCCTTCCACGGGTAACCAAACTGAACCCGTCCCTGCTCTCCTTCCCCTCACAGAGAAAGCTCTTTGCTTTTATGCAAGCTTTTAATAAGCAAATTGCTATTTATGGCAGAGTTTGGGTGTGAGCATCGCTGCTCCCTCCCAGGTTAGAGGCAAGGGACAATCCCTCCTTTTTGTGGACATCTATGGGCTCTAGACTGGATGGTTGAGATTGATTCAAATTTATTGGAAATGAGGCAGAAGTTGCAGGCAAACTTCCTCCACCAACAAACCCCTCTGTCTGAGTCCCATCTTGGATGGGTCAAGTTCCCTTTGTTGGTCCCTTCACCCACTCAGTGTCTTCCACACCTCAGGTGTCTTCACTGGGGCTGAGTAGGACAGAAACCACAGAGCTGCTAAAAGTCCTGGCAAGAGCCCACAACCCCTGGTCACTTTTAGGGAAGGCCTGTAGCTTTTCTCACACCTTTGTCTGAGTTTGGGACTGGCTCCTGCAACAGATGCCATTCATAAACCTTTGTGTTGACACTAGTGTTGATGTCTCCAACGCCTCTTCTGTGTAGGAGGAGGGGTTGGGACCAGATGCTATGGTGGTGGAGGAGATTGTTGGCAGTGGACTAGGCATCTCAATGCCTTTTTTGGGGGTGGGGTCTCTTTTTTGGCCCATCCTCTGCACCAGCCTCCTTTTCCTGGGTGGGCCAACCAATCCCAGTGCCCACCCAAGGCCTGGTGGTCTCAATGGCCTGCTTGGGACACTGGCTGTGATGACTCCCTCACATTTTGGGGCAAAGTTTTTTTTTAAAAAAAGAAGCACATTAATGGCATAACTGAAAGATACAATTTTATCACTGTATCTGACATCATAAATGTATTTTATCATGGCACAGTGGTTAAACTGCTGTACTGCAGTCAAAACTGTACTCATAACCCTGGGTTCAATCCCAGGTAGCCACATTATGGTTGACTCAGTCTTTTGTCCTTCTGAGGTCAGTAAAATGGGTACCCAGTTCGCTATGGGAGGCTATGTGTAGCCTGCATAATTAACTTGTAAACCATCCAGAGAGTGTTTTAAGCATATGGGACAGTATATAAGCAAGACACTTTGCTTTATTTTTTAACCCCCTCCATTTATTCTACTATTATGTGAGTAGATGTCTGGAACCATATGCAACCACTTCAGTTCAACAGCCCAAGGCCATTTCAGAACTTGAGTTCATTAAGAATTACTGATCAGCTGTGGGTTCAGAATGTGAGTGAACGCTAGAGTGGCTTGGATCACTTATTTCGTCTTTTCCCTCTTCCCTTTCATGGAGGAAAGAAGAAGCTTTACTTCCAGTTTTCATTAACTACAGTTCAAGAGCCTCATGGCACAGTGGTTAAACCGCTGTACTGCAGCCAAAACTGTGCTCACAACCTGGGGTTCAATCCCAGGTAGCGGCTCAAGGTTGACTCAGCCTTCTATTCTTCCGAGGTCGGTAAAAAGAGTACCCAGCTCACCGGGGGGGGGGGAGCAATGTGTAGCCTACATAATTAACTTGTAAACCCCCCAGAGAGTGCTTGAAGTGCTATGGGGCAGTAT